CAGGCCAGAGTTGAAATGCTTCATCTCTCCACCCTATCCCTTGTCCCTTACCATGGTCCAGTCTGTTGTTGGGCCTGGGGTTCCAGCAGGGCCCCTCATCTATCTTAGCACCCATATTGACTTTTCCATCCATCTATCCATCCATCCCACTGGGGTCTGAGTGTGTTGGGTGGGGTGGGGGAGCTTGGATCTGAGCTCAGAGAGGGAACAAAAAGGTAGCTTTTCCAGTCATTGTTTCTGGAAAGAGGTCAGATCAGTTGGAGTTCTCTTGAAGTCAGTCATGTTGGTGGGGGGAGGGGTCCAGTGCTGATGTTCTTCTGCCTTCCCTTCTGAATAAAGGGACGCCCCTGTGCCAGTCTCCCTCTGCCTGCGCCTGTCTTCCTCATCTAAATTCACAAGGATCCTGTGGACACAGTCCCTTGGTTTTGCCTTGATGGGCTCCTCCGCAGTTGAGGACACCCTTGCTGTCTGTGTGTCTTCCCCCACCCCCATAGAACTCTCTTTGCCTGCTCTGTGCTGCTCTCCTGCCTGGAGCTGAGGATGAGGTTGCCATGGGAACCTGAAGCGCAGAGAGCAGGGGATGGGGAAGGCAGGGTTGTCTCGCCAGGGATGGGAGCTGTGGGGAGGGGACAGGGCTGACCCAGCAGGAACAATATAGACCATAGTCACGTCTACCTGCCTGGGCTGGGATTTAGGAGGTGAGGGTAGAAGTTCCTCTTTAATCTAGTTATCTGCTGCAGGATTAAAATCTCTCTCCCTGGATTAAACCAGCATCTAGGTTGTTCTTGTCCCTCCATCATTCGGATGGGATTATTGTTCCTGCTAGGGGAAGGGGGTCAGGTGATAATGGTTTCCTTAGCTGGTGTTTAAAGAGGACTAGTACCTGCCAACCCCGCCCAGAAGCAGTGAAGTCATTAGTGTGTGTGGGTATGGATGGTACAAGGTGACATTGTCAGAGGCAGTGTTTCCAAAGAAATTTATAATTTTTTATAAACATATCCTCACTGTTAGTTACAACAGCAAAAACAATTTTTATAAACCCAGTTTCCACGTGTCGATATACCTGTAAGGCTAAAACTATGCTAATTTACTTTTTGATGCATTTGACTGCTAACCACAAGGTCAGCAGTTTGAATGCACCAGGAGAAAGAGGAAGCTTTCTGCTTGATAAAGATATTTACAGTCTTGGGAACCCTACCTACATCAGCTTGATGGCAGTGGATTGACTTGGGATAATATGCTTTAAGGAGCCCTGGTGGTGTACTGGGTTAAGCATTATTGGGCAGCCAATGGCTTCTGGTGTGGCACTGTAAAATAAGCACTGGACAGTGAACCATAAGGTTGGCAGTTCAAACCCACCAGCCGCTCCTTGGAAACCGTATACAGGGAGCTGTGAGTCGGAACCAACTCGATGGCACTTACCAGCGGCAGCAAGATTGGTGGTTTGAATCCACTAGTTTTTGGGAGGCGATGAGGCTGTCTGCTTCTGTAAAGATTTACAGTCTCAGAAACCCCATGGAGTAGTTGTCTTCTGTCCTGTTGGGCTGCTATGAGTGGTAGTATGTTAATGTGCTCGGGTCAGAGCTCTCATATTTCCCAATTACAGTGATGTTTGGAATCATGTGGTTTCATGTGCTGCTGTTTTCATTGTTGCGGTTTTATAGTTGCTGACTTTGTCAAAAATTCTGGTATTTTAGCTATAACATTGTGATAATTAGTAGTTGTGAATCCATATGAATAACTTTTTAGTAATTAAAGGAAACGAGGAAAAGTGAAAAACTCTTCCTCTCAGCTACTAATAATGGTATAGAAAGATTTTGTAAAGCCATTTTTATTGTTAGTATTATATAATGTAAGAAATAATTACATTTAAGCAATTTACTTATTAGTCTGTGATCGGAGTCCTGGTATGGTGCTGGATAAGTACTAGATTGTTAACTGCAAGGTTGGTGGTTCAAACCCTTCATCTGCTCCTCAGAAATACAAGGTCGCTATGAATCAGAACTGACTAGATGGCACTCAGCAATTCTATGTCGAAGATAGATGCTAAACATTACTAAGGATTCTGTGTGGTTTGGTACTGGAGGAGGCCCGTGATGGGAGTGACACCAACCCTATTGACATCACTGTCCAGAGGCACTTGCTGCATGTTGGAAGGTCTCCTGAAACCTGTTTTAAAGACACTTTGGGTGAGGTGTGGGGTGGCAGAACAGGGGAGGGTATGGTGCAGCAGGTGTGTGAGTGTGGTCTGTGGATCACTGTTGTTTGTGGCCCCGCCGTGTTAAGGAGACAAATGTTGCTGCAGCAGGTCTATCTATACATTCGTTGTATTTGAGAGAATCAGGTGTACATGTCTGACTGTCCTTGGATCCCTGGAGCGGGCACTTCATCTTAACACTGTGTCTTTGGAGGCTAGCAGAGAAGGGTACAGCTAGTATCAGATAGGTCTGAGACAGTGAAACTAGCCCAAAGGGGAAACGGATTTGCTGATCTCACCCAGCAAGTGAGTGTCAGAGCCACTTTCTAGCCACCCCTGCCCTCCTTGGTTCAGTTCTCCAAATCCAACCCCAAGTCTGGCCCCTGCATGAGTGGCAGCCAGAGGGAAGTTGTGTTTAGCAGGTAGCTCTGGCCCCCACCAGTATCTGCTTACCTCTATCCTTCCCCTCTGAATACTAACCAGCACAGTCCTCTCAGGATTGGCCTTTCATGTGCTGACCCAGAGCCGTCCTAGAGGTCTTTTCTGCCATCACATTTTAGGCTGTAACCTCCCTTTTCCGCCCCCTGAGTCTCTGCTCATGGTTGCTCTCATCGTCTCACCCTCCCCCACGATGCCTTCTAAGTGGTTCATGTGTGAAGCCCTCCTTTCTAGAACCTTTGGACCAGTCAGTACTACTAGAGATCTCACTTCAGTTCCTTTTACTGTTCTAGATTCCCAGCTGATTCTTCTGATCCTTGGAGCTGCTCAGCTGTGGGTGGCCCTGGCTGCATGGAGCTGGGCCAAGCCTGGGGACTGGACCCACAGCCTCAGCCATGCATTCATTTCTGGGCCCTTTCTGTTACCAGCTGCAGGCACCTGTGTTTGCTCATTTTTCTCTTCCCTCTGCTTTGGAGCTCTGTGTGGGCTGACAGGGAGCTAGGAACCTAGTGAGGTGACAGTAGCTATTGGAGAAAAGGGCACAGCTAAAATGATCTGAAAGTAGCCCAGAAGGGAAATGGACTTGCTGAAGTCACCCAGCAAGTGAGTGTCAGAGCCACTTTCTAGCCACCCCCGCCCTCCTTAGTTCAGTTTTCCAAATCTACCCCTAAGTCTTGCCTCTCCGTGAATGGTGGCATAGAGGAAAGTTGTGTTCAGCAGGTGGCTCTGTCTCAGGAAGATGCAGGCGACTGGAGAACATGCCGTGTTTGGCTCATATTCAGCTAGAGGGTATGGTAATTAACTGGGCTTGAAGGAGCACCCCAGGAGGTAATCCATCTCTTGCTGGGTCCAGCTTGTGCGATAGGGATCTATCTGCAGGTGCTCATGGTGGAGTGTGGTCACTTAGTCGGACTTCAGATTCCTGCTTGGAGACCCCCGTGTCTCACCTGTGGCTCATGTGGAACCCTAGTCGTTTCATGTACAAACACAGACTTGAAAACCACAGTGACTTAGGGCTGCCTCTACTGTAGCTATTTTACTGGGGGATCTGATGTGATCTAATAAGATGTAGAAGACCTGAGTTCTATTCCCAGCCCAGCTTCAATACCTGATACGATATTAATTTATTCAAGATATATTTATTGAGCATCAGGTACTGTTCTAGGAATAAATCCATGAGCCAAAGAGACCCAACAACTCCTGCCCTCATTGAGACATATAGGAGAGAAGATAACAAGCTACCGTGATACATCGTTCATTATAAAGTCTATTGTAAGTTGAAACTAATTCCAGGGCACTGAATAACATTAAATGATAAGTACCTGAGGCCAGCGTGCTCTTTCCTTTTCTATGAAATGAGAACCACATGGCCCCCGAGGTCCCTGCAGACTCTACTCTGTGGGCCACCCTACCCTAGCTCCTCCTACCCTCAAGCTAGCCCTTTTTCTGGAGGACAGGGCCCTGTCCTGTGTATGGGTAGTGGAGGGGGCTGGGCTTTGAAGATACTGTCTTAACTGCAAATTTGAATCCTATCAGTTATTGGCTGTGTGTTCTGGCCACTTTGTTTAACCTCTCTGAACCTCAATTTTCCCACCTGTCAAAGGGGAACAATGATAGTACTAGACACCTAGGGTGCTTGTGAGAAAATTGTGACCCAAGGCACGTGGGCCCTTAGTACAGGGCACGCATTAACTCTTCTTACCTCTCTCTCTGCTTAACAACATTTTTGGCCTCAAGCTGGCCTTTCTGCCGACCCTCCAGTTAAGTTGGACCTTGTTAGTCATTTGAAACACTACTTCGGGCATGTGCACTCTCATCACTGCCTTTAGGAAGCCCCTCTGGATATCTCTGTTCCCTTTTTCCCTTTCTCTTTTCCTATCTCTGTATATCTCTTGTCTTCTCTACTGGTTGGTCTCTACTTCTGATCGTAACTGATGACTTAGTCATGCTTCCAGGCTCTTGTTCTGTTCAACCTGGTTGGATCTTCCTGGGTGACCCAGACCCATCTAACTCCCATGTGGTAGATAGACTAAGGCATGAATTATCCCTGAACAAGGGTTATCGGAACCCCCTCCCCTCCCAAGAGTGGCTGGATGGCCTCCTTTTGGTGCTGGATAGTGCTCCCCTGCTGGTCACCCAGACCTGATGTGTCTTCCCAGTTTGGCCGGCCCAGGCTGAAGCTAGAAGCTCTTGCTTCATCCTCAGCCCTGGACTGTGGACACCTTGATCTTGCTCCTAGGGTGGGGGTAGGGGCTGTCAAGGTTTAAGAGGAAGTGGCTGGGAGTGAGTCCAGGTCTGGGTGAAGCCTAGCCATCTTCTCTCCTTCCCCAGGGTGACGCCCACTCTGTTTTTTTCTGTCCTGCAGACACTACCCCAAGCAGTCCTTCACCATGGTGGCTGACACCCCGGAAAACCTCCGTCTCAAGCAGCAGAGCGAGCTCCAGAGTCAGGTGAGGGGCCGGGCTGGCGCTGTGGCCTGCTGGGGAGGCTGTTGCAACCCTGGGGGGGATTTGGCAAGGGCTCCTTCCCCCTGTGGTTACTCAGCAGGGCCAAGGTGCTGAAATCCTAGCCCTTGTCTTGTCTCCCCCCCTGCACCCAGTTACATCATGCTTCCTGACCTTTGCAAGGGAATGGGGGTAGCTAAAATGACTCCCTTGGGTTGGAAAGTGAGGGCGTCTAGTCGTCTTTGATATTTCCTGACCTGTGAGAGTTCATGTGGCACTCTAAAGTCTGCCTTTTCCAGCAAGCAGTTCTCCCCCTACTCTTCACACCCCCTTGCTACCCACCTACAAAGGGGTGGGACTTGGGGAAGACCGGGATGAACCCCACTCTCCAGTCTCATGCCAGCCTCAAGTTCCACAGCTCTTCCTCTGTGCTATGCCCCAGACCTCCTCCTCACTCAGTAGGCAGAGTGGAGGGGCCTCTCCTGCAGTTTCTCCTTGGGCCTTGATTTGCCTGAGCATCTGCTGAGTGGGGAGAGGGATGTGTCCCTGTCCTAGGAGAGGAGGCAGATTCCTGCCCCAGGGAGGACTCAATCCCCCCCCCCCCCCACTTCATTTCATTTCATTTCAATAGATTGCAATCCCCTCCATATAACCTCTTGTTTCCATTTTACCCTCCTGCCCAGCCCATCCACATTTTTTCCTTAGGCTAATGCTGTCCTTTTGATCTTGAACGGTTGACCATTCTAAGTGATCATATCTTAATGTTACTGTATATTGTCTTCCCTGTCACCAAAGTTAATATGGTGTGGTGCCGTAGGATAAGCACTGGACCACAAGATTGGTTTGAACCCCAAGGTTGATGGTTCATACCCACCGACGCTCCTTGGAAACCCTATAAAGGGTCGTTATGAGTCAGAAGCAACTTTCTGACACTTAACAACACCACAACCCCCTTGTGCTTTGCAGTCTAGTGCTGGTTTTACAGTGCCACACCAGGAGTCACTGTGCGGTGTCGCTATGAATCGGTAGCAACTCAAAGTCCTGTATCAGCAATAATAACTCAATAACCAGTGAGTTATTCTTCCTTCCCTCATACCCCTGGTAACCATCAAAAAAATGCTTTAGTTTGAAAACTTTTTCATGACTTTTTACAGTAACAGTCTCATACAGTATTTGCCCATTTGTGATTGACTAATTTCACGCATCGTAATGTCCTCTAGGGTCTTCTGTTCTGAGTTCTTTTGCAGAGTCATCATTCTTTTTCCTTGTTGCATAGTAGTCCATTGTGTGTATGTACCCTAGATTGTGTAGGGTACATTCTTTCATTGATGGGCATTTTGGCTGTTTCTATTGGGAATAGTGCTGTGATGAACATGGGTGTGCCTATATTTAGTCATGTCATGGCTATTTTTTCTTGAGGATATATGTCAAGTGGACTCCTGGTGTGGCGTTGTAGGATAAGCAGTGGACTGTGAACCACAAGGTTAGCACTTCAAACCCACCAGTTGCTCCTTGGAAGCCCTATATAGGTTTGCTATGAGTCAGCACTGACTCAGTGATACTTAACAGCATCTTTATCTACCTAGTAGAGGGATTGCTGGGTCATACGGCATTTCTTGTAGTCCTGGGGGTGATGCTGTAGGATAAGCACTGGACCACAAGGTCAGCTTGAACGGCAAGTTCGGCAGTTCAAACCCACCACCAGCTCCATGGAAACCCTGTACAGTGTCACTATGAATCAAAACTGACTCAATGGCACTCAACAACAACAACACATTTTTTCTAATTCCAACATAGTGGTTGCACCATTTTACACTTCCACAAGCAGTATTTGTTGTTTTCTGTTATTTTGAGCATTGGTGTTGATGCTGACATGAGATGGTATGTCGTTGTTGTGATCTGCATCTCTCTGGAGTCTGGTATGGTGCCGGACCGTAATAAGGTTGGTTGGAACCAAAAGGTCTATGGTTCAAACTCACTGATCACTCCTTGGAAACGCTATACGGGGTCATTATGAGTCAGAGCAGACTCGCCGGCACTTAACAGCATTTTTTCATTGGTTTGTTGGCTGTCTGAATATCTTGTTTGGTGACGTGTGTGTTCATGCCCTTAGCCCATTTTAAAATTGGATTTGTCTTAATTTTTGTTGAGGTGTTGAAATTTTCTATAAATGTTAGAGATTAGTCCCTTGTCTGATACGTCATTGCCAAAAATATTTTCCCAATCTTTGGGTTTTTATTCATTCTTTTGGTGAAGTCTTTTGATGCATATAAGTGTCTAATTTTTAGGAGGTCCCAATAATGTTTTCTGTCTTCTGCTGTCTGTGTGGGTTCAGTTTTGTTTGATAGTGTTATTTATGCCAGGTATCAGAGTCCCTAAATTTCTATTTTTTCATTGCTGATCTAGTTCTAGGTTTTACATTTAGGTCTTGAATGCACATTAAGTTTATTTTTGTATATGGGGAGAGATATGGGTCTTGTTTCATTCTTCTGCAAATGGATTTCCAGTTTTGCCAATACCAGTTGTCAAAGAGACTGTAGCTTCCGCATTTGATGTGTTTTGACCCTTTGTGAAAAATCAGTTGACTGTTGGTGGTTGGATTTACTTCTGTGTTCTCAATTCTGTTTCATTGGTCTACGTGTCTTTCATCGTACAGTGCCCCAGGTTGTTTTGACCACTGTGACTGTCTAGTAAAATTTGAGGTTGGGAAGTGAGAGGGCTCCTCGTTTGTTCTTTTTCAGTAATGTTTTGCATATCTGAGATCTCTTTCCTTTCTATATAAGGTCAGTGATTAGTTTTGCCATCTCTCTACGGAATGATGCTGAGATCTGCATTGGGACTGTATTATATTTGTAGATTGTCTTGGATAGTGTTGACATTTTCACAATGGTAAGTCTTCCTATCCATGAGCATGGGGAGCATGGACTGCAAACCAGAAGATTGGCAGTATGAGCCCATCAGCCACTCCACGAGAGAAAGATGAAGCTTGTTGCTCTGACAAAAGATTTAAAGTCTTTCCCTTAAACAAATAATAAATAAGGGGGAATCTGATGCAGACCGTGCAGATCCGGTCAGGAGTACAAGTCCCCGTGGGCCCAAGCGTTGCTGACCATCCAAACCATAGGCTCTGAGGATCAGACTTTAGCC